ATGACGACCTCGTCTTCGAGCAGGGAAATGATCTGTTTTGCAGGCGAGGGGAGAGAGGGATAAGGAGGGAGGGAGGGAACGAGAGACAGAGAGAGAGAGAGGACAACCTAACGATAGACGTTGTATATAGGTATGCGTGTATGTATATATATATATGTATGTGGAGGTATATGTGTATGACCACTCGTAGGTACAAATATGTTAGCCAGTGTGGAGCCCAATCAGTGTGTGTTCCAGCAATTCGTGCGTGTATTCCCATACAATCTATATATATATATATGTACACACTTTTTTGGGGAACTCTCATTCTCCTCCCCGCCCGCTTCGTCCTCAATCTTCTCCTCCCCGTCCCTCCCCTTCCCTTTTGTGCCTGCAGCGAAGCGCACCGCTCATTAATTCAGAGAAGCGTGTTGCGATGTAAAGCAACACAAAGCAATGCGAACCAGTGCCGAGCAATGCGAAGCCATGCGACACACTGTAAAGCAATGCGGTGGGATGCAACGCCACGCAACGCAACGCAACACAATGACTACAATACAGAGCGAGTCGCAGCAACGCAAAGCAGGGTGGAGGAGGAGGGAGGGGCTGCAAGGCAAAACGCTGCATAGCACTGCGTGGCACTGCGACGCAACGCAAACCAAGGCCAAACGACGCACAACAATGCAAAGCAACGAAAAATAACGCAAGCCAATGTAATGGCAAGGCAGGCCAATGCTAAGCACGGCGTAGCAATGCGAAGCAAGGCAACATGTTGCAACGTGTTGCGATGCAGAACAGTGCAGCGCACAGCAATTTAAGGCAAGCCCCGGCAATGCACTGCAATCCAATGCTTTGCGTTGCCTCGCAGTGCAACGCGCTGCAGGGCAGCGAAGCGCAACGCAGCAGCGTGCAGCGCAAAAAGCAAGGCGACGCGACGGCGACGGCGAAGCCACGGCGACGGGCGGCGACGGGGCGGCGATCGGGCGGCGACGGTCCGCACGGAACCGCCAGACCGACACAGAAAACCCAGGCGACGAGGCGGCGACGGGGCGGCGACGGGGCTGCGACGGCTGGCGCGGAACCGCCAGACCGACACACAGGCCCAGTTCTTCAGGCCAGGCAGGTCGTGGTATGTATGTGTATATATATATGTATACATAGATGAAGAGTGAGAGCGAGAGAGAGAGAGAGAGAGAGAGAGCGCGAGAGAAAGAGGGAGAGAGAGAGATATATATATATATATATATATAAAGAGAGAGAGAGAGAGAGAGAGAGAGAGAGAGAGAGAGAGAATGACGTATTACATTTGTAGATATACATAGATATCTGTATGCAGAGAGCGAGAGAGAGAGAGAGAGAAAGCGACATAGAGAGAGAGAGAGAGAGAGAGAAGGAGAGAGACACAGAGAGAGAGAGAGAGATATATGTATAACCTATACATCTATATATGTATATATATAGACAGAGAGAGAGAGAGAAGAGGAGAGAAAGTAAGAAGCGAGAGAGAGAGAGAGAGAGAGAAAAGGAGAGGGAGAGCGAGACAGACAGAAAGAGAGAGAGAGAGAGAGAGAGAGAGAGAAGAGAGACAACAATATACATAGAGAGAGAGAGGGAGAGAGAGAGAGAGACAGAGAGAGAGAGAGAGAGAGAGAGAACGAGAGAGAGAGAGGAACATAGAGAAAGAGGGATAGAGAGAGAGAGAGAGCGAGAGAGGGAGAGAGAGACCGACTTAACGCGAGAGCGGGATAGAGAGAGAACGACATATAGATAGAGAGAACAATCAAGAGAGATAGAGGGGTATCGATAGAGAGAGAGAGAGAGAGAGAGAGAGAGAAAGAGAGAGAGGGGGAGAGAGAGAGAGAGAGAGAGAGACACACCACAAAGAAAGAGAGACATAGAGAGATCCACAGTGAGAAAGAACGAGAGGGAGAGAGAAAGAGAGAGAGAGAGAGAGACGGAGAGCGAGAGAGAGAAAGAGAGAGAGATCGAGAGAACGCGAGCCAGGCTGCGACAAGAACGGCGACAATTGCGGCCTCGGCGGCAGCGGAGGGCCTAAAGAGGCACGCCGCACCCGCGAAAGGGGAAAGTTCTTCTGCAGCTGCTGATGAAGATATTGCTGACGATGCTCATGCTGCTGCTCATGATGCTACTGATGATGAGTACGACGAAACGGTTGACGCCGATGGTTATGATGCTGCTGCTGATGGCGATGGTCACAAAGGCCCTGGGGATGACGAGGAGAAAAGGGGAAAAAGGAGGAGGGGGGCGACACGGAAAAGGAGGAGGAGGAGGAGGAGGAGGAGGAGGAGGAGGAGGACGTGGACGAGGAGGAGTGGAGAAGGAAGGGGCAAGCGTCCGAGGACAATGGGGACAAGACCGATGGGGGTGACGCAAGATGAGCAGCACGAGTTTTCCTGACCAGCCTGTGTGTAAAGGGCTACATAGATGTATATCTATATCTATGTATATATACATATATTTATGTATGTATAGTTACCTCTATTCCAATGCTGGGTGTGAGCTCCTCCCGATCCGAAATCGATGGCCTGTTGCCCGTGGTCTCCCGCAGGGCCTCCCGCCTCGGTTTCCCGCAGGCGCTGCCACATCTGGTCTCTCTGCGGGGCCTCCCGTGTGGTCCTCCGCAGGGTCTCCCGTAGGGGTCTCCCGTGCGGCCTCACTTTTTTTTTTTTTTTTTTTTTTTTTTTTTTTGTTGTTTTTTTCTTCCCCCCTCCTCCGTGCAGTCTTCCGTGTGGACTCCCGTTCGGGCGCCCGCAGGGCCTCTCGCAGGGTCTCCCCGCGCGGTCCCCCGCCCGCGCGGTCATCCCTCCGGCGGGGTTCTGGGGCCCCGCGGGAGGGGGGGCATCCCGAGGGGTGACGGCCAGTCATCTCACACGTCTTCCCCCCTTCCCCCCCCTGGCAGACGGGGATCGGTGGTTTCTGTATGCGCGAGCCTGGATCCGCAGGCCCTTTCGCGGCTGCAGTCACATCCTCATAGTTTTTTGGTTTGCAGGTTTACCTCTAGAGTGTACGTGCTCCCCACTGCCGGCGTCCGTGCCATCACACGTGCAATCAGCATCGTGCAACCCGCACTTCGCCTACACTCTTGCGCCAGCTTGCGCTTCTACTTCTTCACGTGTACCTGCACTCACGCTCAATTTTGGGGCTCTGCGTGGCACGCGCGAGTTTGCTTAAAGGGCTGGCCATTCCGGGTGACGCGAACGGGAACGGAAGGCGCTCGCAAGAGGCGCCACCTCATTGATGGCAGCGGGGCCTATCTTCGGCGGCCGATCTCTGCAATTCTCTTAGGAGGGAAATGAGCACACAGACACAATTGATCGTCGACCCCCCAGGAACATATGGGAAATTATTGGAAATGGGGGGAAAGAGGAATGCCCAACACACATGGGAACATATGGGGAATCCTTGGATTAGTGTGTGTATATGTTTGTGTCCCAGGGCTCCTTTAACTTTGTTTGCAAAACGACGGGTGCGATTCCGCCTCCTCCTCCTGCCTCCTGCCTCCTCCTCCTCCTCCTCCTCCGCCTCCGCCTCCTCCTCCTCCTCCGCCCTCCTCCCTCCGCCCTCCTCCCTCCGCCCTCCCCCCCCCTCCTCCTCTCCCCCTTCCTTCCTCTTGTCTCCTTCTCCTTCTCCTTCTCCTTCCTTCTCCTTCTCCTTCTCTCCTCTCTCCTCCTCCCTCCTCCTCCGCCTCCCTCCTCACCCGCCTCCTCCTCCTCCCCTCCTCCTCCTCCTCCTCCTCCTCCTCCTCCTCCCGCGGGCACGCAAAACGTGCCGCCCGCATCGCGCGCGCAGGCGCCTCGTCGCAGGCAGCCGCCTGCGCCGCGCCCGCCGCGCCTCTGCCGTCCGCGCCGCGCCCGCCGCGCAGGAGGCACGCCTCGGCGGGCGGTGCCGTGCCGAGGCGAGCGGCAGTCTGCGCAGTGGAAACTCTTCGCGCCAGGGAAAGCCACAATCGGGGTTCCCCCTCCCCCTCCTCCGCCTCCGCCTCCTCCGCCTCCTCCTCCGCCTCCGCCCTCCTCCGCCTCCTCCCCTCCTCCTCCGCCCTCCTCCTCCGCCCTCCCTCCTCCGCCTCCTCCTCCCCCTCCTCCTCCTCCGCCTCCGCCTCCTCGGTCTCCTCCGCCGCCTTCTCCTCCTCCACCTCCGCCTCCGCCCGCGCTTCCGCCGCCTCCTCCGCCTCCTCCGCCTCCTCCAGGGAAGTCCTGCCAGGTGTCCTGGCCTGCCCGCCCCGGCCCGCACGCCGGCCGCAGCCTGCCGCCCGCCAGTGCAGGCGCTCGCCCTCGCGGCGCGCCTTGGGGCGGCCTCGCGCCGTGTCACGCAGGAAACGATAGGGGCGAATAGCCCAGGGGAGAGCATGATATGTTTCGGATGCAGCTCCTGGGAGGTCAAATTCTGTTTTCGCCCTGGTCCGAAGTCCGGCTTAATCGGGCTCAAAACCGGCTTGATACAGCTTAATCCCGCTTAATCCCGCTTGATCCTGCTTCGTCCGAGGCCCTTCCCGGCGTAACAGCTCCCAAATGTGTCTTTATCCTCCGTAATCTTTCCGACGAAAACCTCCCAGTAGTTGCCTTCTAAACATGTATTCAGGCGCGCCGATGATCTATGTCTTCGAACAGGCTCCTGGGCGAACGCGTGTAATGCCCGCCCTGGGGCTATTCGCCCCTGTCGTCTCCGCCGAGTGCCAGGAGCGGGTGATTCGGTGGCTATGTCTTCGAAAAGGCTCCCGGGCGAACGCGTGTCATACCCGCCCCTGGGCTATTCGCCCCTGTCGTCTCCGCCGAGTGCCAGGAGCGGGTGATTCGGTGGGCGCTTCGCGCTGGTCGGGCAGGATGCTTTTGCCTGCGCGTGCAGTTTTCGCCAGGGCCCCCTCAGCGCCAAAGCGCCGATGGTGGAAATGTTTGGCTCTCTCGCTCTGTATTCTGTCGTCCTTGCTTTCTGCTTCCTGCCCTCTCTTTCTCTGTCTTCTGCCTGCCTGGCTGTCTGTCTGTTTGCCTGTTTTTTCTAAACTCGCACAGTCTCTCTCTCTCTCTCTCCTCTCTGTCTCTACCTCTGCCTGCCTGCCTACCTGCCTGCCTGTCTGTCCGTTTCTCTTTCTCTCCCTGTTCTCTCGTTTCTGCCTCTCTCTCTCTCTCGCTCACTGTCTGCTCCCTGACTGTACATGCACGCTCTCGCTCTACTCTCTCTCTATTTCTAATATCTCTCTCTCTCTCTCTTCCTCTCTCCATGTTTATTGTTTGGGTCCATCTCTTTTTTTTGTTTCTCTCTTTCTCTCTCTCTCTCTTTCGTCCTCGCTCTCTTTTCTCTCACTCTCTGTGCCCCTTTGTGTAATCCCTTCACTTTCTCTACCGTCTCTACCCTCTCTACTCGCTCTCTTCTTTACTCACTCTGAAATCTCTCTCTCTCTCTCTCTCTTCCTCTCTCCCTCCTTCTCTCTGTTGCTACCACTTCTACTCTCTATTCTCGGGTTTTCACTTCTGTTCTAAAGAATTGGGCAGTGTCTTCGGTCTGGCGGCTATGTGGCCGCCGTTGCCGCCCCGTCGCCGTCGTGTCGCCGACCGTCGTTTTGGCCGTGTCTTCGGTCTGGCGGCTATGCGCCCGCCGTCGCCGCCCCGTCGCCGCCCCGTCGCCGCCTCGTTGCCGCCCGTCGCCGCCGAAGGATTGCACCACATAGATGGCACCACAAGACGTTCGTTTCTGCGGCGCGTTTCTTGATCGCTCGCAACATACATAGGCTGCACCACATATAATGCACAGCATATCGTGCACATCATAGGCTGCACTGTACAACATAGAGTTCATGACGTAGATCGTTCCGCATCGTTTGCACAACATCTTTATATAGAACCACGTATATTGTACCACGTATATTGCATAACGTATATGGCACATCATATATTGCACGGCATATGTTGCACAACATGGTTTGCATGCCATATATTGCACCACATATCTTGCTCCACATAGTTTGTATCACATACATCGAACCACACACTTGACCAACAACATTGTTTGGGGTCCACGCTGGCTAACATGCAATGCCTAGTGTCTACTCTGTACTTTTTTTCGGCCTGTGCTCTCGATGACCCCGGGTATGCTGCCGCAGCAGAAAGCGCGAAACCCGGGATCCTGACGCCCCCAAAAAACCAAGACCCCGGAACGCGGCCACCCACCAGAATCGGCCCTGCATTTTCGCCATCCCCTCTTCGATCTCAGGAGGTCAGGAACCTGAGAGCCCGACCACGTTTAAAAGACCTGAGAACCTGAGAACCTGACTGTTTTAAAGCACGTTGGCGTGCTTTAAAACTGTCCCCGGGGACTGTTTTAGCTAAGTTTCTAAGTCTCGTTATTTCCGTTTTAGGATTGCCGAAGTCTGAGGAGCCCAGGAGACTCTTTAGGTTGTTAACCTATTTTGACAGGATGTGCTCGTCTGTTCTTTCAATCTCCACTGGGATGCCTTCAGTGCACGCGCACAGCGGGAAACCGTCATCGATGGGGATCCGCTCATCTCGAGCTCTGTGCCGCACCGCAGCAACAAAATACATCATCACATTCACGTCAACTCTGTAACTATACAGTAGTGACCAAGCCGAATAATTCAAGGGAGTGGGTGGCATACCGTGCCCCACTCCCGTTCTCTTCTCTTCGTCTCGCCCCCTCCCGCTTCCGTTCCATGTCCTGCACGTCCCTTTCCCTCCACCTTTCCCCTCCCCTCCCACTCCCTTCTCTCTTCTCCCCTTCACGTCCCTCCCCTCCCTTCCCTCCCTCCCCCTTCTCCTCTCCTCCTCCTCCTCCTCCTCCTCCTCCTCCTCCTCCTCCTCCTCCTCCTCCTCCTCCTCCTTCTCTCTCTCACCCCGCCCGTGCCCTCCCGTCTGCCACCCCCCCTTGCCTCCTCATTCCCCCGCGCGTTTTCGGCTGCGCACGCGGCCCCGCCGGTGCAGGCCTGCGTGAAGACGTCGGCGTCAGGACGGACTGGGCTGGTGCCGGCGAGGAGGAGGAGGAGGAGGAGGGGGAACGAAACGGATGATAAGGATGACGAGGAGGGGTAGAACGAGCGCGAAACGAAGGGTGAGGGAGGGAGGGAGGGCCTCGGGATCCTTTGGTTGCTTGCTTCAGCCCGAGTGTCTCCATCATTCCATGCGCATGCTTGTTTTATTAAGGCACGGGGAGGATGCGACGGAGGATGATGATGATGAGGAGGAGGTGGCAAGGAGGGAGGTGTATATAGGACGAGGCAGACGAGAAAAGAGGAACGTGAGGCTGACTTCTGCGCGGTCGGAGCATGTATTCCAGGAGACGTGGACTACAGCCACTGCGCACCACCGATTGACACCAAGTTCGAGGCTTCCCGTGGGATCTCTTCTCGTTGGATGATTGTGCGCGTTGGACTTTCATCGGCTTGTCCGGCTGGCTGCCATTGACGATGGATCTTCGATTGTGCGTGCGGAGATTACCGGCTCTTTCCTCGTGGAAGCACGCATGGCCGTTGCAGCCTTACCATCGAGCGGCTGG